TTATCAGTCGAGAGGACCTCAACTTGCTAACCATAAATACACAGGAAAATACTGGGCTTTGTCATTATTTATATCTGTCCGTAAAACTTCGGTTGTTGATATAAATATGCTGATATTAGCAATAGACGGGATTCGAAAGTAATGAAATCAGTCAAGTGAAAATTTTCTTCCGACAGTTGCAGACTGCCTGGCGCGACATGCACAATGTTTACGAGAATTTCATTTTCCGCAGAAATTGTCGGGATTTTCAGCTAATCGAAGGAATTTCAATGTGACATAATTTAAATATGTCATTACAGAAAGTTCTGTCCGAGAACTGGAACTTTGTATGATTGTTGTATGATCGATTGATTGTTCCTTATTCATCCAAGAATTTCGCGCACGTACAGAAAGCGAATGTTTACCCACGTTATAATAAATGGCGCATCTAAAATAAATACGGCAGTGAGTGTCTAAAAAGACCGAAGGCCTAAGACTCCCTCCGAATCTCAAAAACAACTCAAATTGGCCAAAAACCAACACCCGGCAAAAGTAATCACACTAATGGCCGCCGCAGAAAAACACTAAACCTTTTGCTAGTGGAACTCAGGCTACACGCCAAGTAGAAACCACGTGACAAACGCTTTCCTCTCGTGGACAAATAAATAAATAAATAAATAAATAAATGAATGAATGAATGAATGAATAAATAAATAAATGAATAAATAAATAAATAAATAAATAAATAAACATCGCTGGCGTTGACAAAGTGTGGGAAATCCCACACAAAAATAGTTCGGTAAAGCTTGAAAAATAGAATTTGTCCTACTGTTGCATATAAGTAGGCCTTAGTAAGAGTAAAAATGCTATGTAGTATTTTTTCTTCAAATATCTTGGTATTTCCGATAAAAAGGACATTATCGGTTTCACGAGCAGACATCAATCTAACGAGTTCTAACTGGGCTGAAAATTCACCATTTTCATTCGATTCGCATTTCGCAACTATTGAGCATAGAAAAGTTGTAATACAACCAACTTAATGCAGAACTATTCCTTGTCCAAAAAAGCCCAGTCTCAAGAATATTGGATTTATCTAACTATTTAGCGGTAAACAAAACCAAAGTGTTCTCCAACGATGAGTTCGTAAGTCGTTGAAAACAACTGTCATTTTGACCATGTGCCATGTCTCAGAATTCCAAAAGATTTTAGAAATCTAAATATACTAGGATAGGTCTTTCAATATACGTAACGTTTAGTTTGGGCAAATGATTAGGCACTTGCCAAAGCATTGTTCAAATCATACACAAAAAAAATTAAAATCATGCCAGCAGTCGAATGCGTGACCAAAAGTATTACCATTGTTTTTGTCATTAAATCACTTCAATTCGAAATATCACAGGAATATCAGCACGTCTTAAGCATAAACCAACAAATAAATGTTTACCTTAGCTGGGTTATCATGTCTTGACCGTCAAATAACATTCCTATCCTGCCATTTCAACGGTGTTCCATTAGGTTTGCATAACCTGTACGCATTCGTCTGGTGA